TTTGTTTCATGAATACTTACCATCTTATACTACATTTTGTTATTTTGCCAACTTACAGACCAGAGTTTAATTACCACTCGTTTAGAAGAACCTCTCAAGACTCTACTTAAAAACACACAGACATACACATATTTTTATATATTTTGAAAGCTTCTACCAAATATTAAAAATAGGAATCATAAGTAGCCAATCAAAACAAAAATTAGAAATAAATAAGAGAACAGAACACCGAGGTAAAACCAAGACCAGTAAGTTGCTAAACATCTACAAAGTCTAATTAAGGGGGGACCAAACCAAAAAAAAGAACATGAGGAGAAATGGCATAAGACAATGCCAACACTGTGGCTTGGGAACTTGGCATTTTTTACTGAGGCAAGAAATACAAGTTAGCAGACCACATGGAGATGGTTGTGGGCAAGCAGAAACCATATATGTCCCATCTAAGGTGGACAACCACTACTCAGCTCTCGCTGAGTGCTACCACAAGGAAACACCGGCTTGGTGTTGACAACTCTTTTAATCTGAGAAGCAGGAAATATGGATTTTTAAGTGAAATCTCCCTGTTCTTTAATGCTACCAACTAATTCTTTTTTTTTTTTTAAATCACTACACAGGCCAAACAAAATATATCTCTGGATTACATTCAGCACATCAGTTGGGAAGCTCTGATGTAGTGTGAGAACAAGAGAGATTCAGAAAAATAAAGGAAAGGGCTCAGATTAGAATAGAGCCTTAGGAGAAAGAACCAGCAAAGAGCAGCATCACAGAGAGAAAGTTTCAAGGAAGAGGCCATCTAATGTTAAAAGCAGTAGAGATTTCCAGCAAGGTAAGGACAAGCGGTCACTGGTACTGCTTTTAGAAGCAGTTTCAGTGGTGTGGTGAATGCTAACTCCAGACTGTTGTGAGTAAAAATACACACATGCACTCACAAATTCAAAGTCAAAAGGTTAAACAGCTCTAAGTGCAAATGGTATCATTCTTCAGCAATAATTAAAACAAGCTTTGTAAATATATTACAACATACACAAAATATTTCTAAACTGCACTTGAATATTCTTTATGAGCTTAGGAAAGGTATTTTCCTAATTCATGTTAATTGGCCCAGAATATCAAGAGCTTAAAAACCCATTTAAGAGTATCATAATTAAATCTGACCGATCAACAATCTTGACAGCCAAATTCAAAACAATTTTAAACATATTGGTGTTAAATGTTGAGATATTACAGGAACAAAACAGAAATGCTATGAGAATTTGTACCTGATGATATCAAGTATTTCCTGGGACCATGTTCTGCATGCTGACTATCAAGGGTAACAGTGAAGCCTCCTTTTCCTAGCATCTCCAAGCTCTGTTATATGATGAACCACCATGACAGCACTACTTTTCCAAGAGATTTATGTCCTACTATGTTCTATCTCCTTTGCCCATGACAGACAACAAAACAAACAAAAAGAAACCCCACAAAATAACAGCCATTATACTTGTAAATATCATAAATTATATATAATGAGCTAAAATGCTAGCTGTATTATCTAAACCTCCCTATTTATCTTCATAGTTCTACTATAAAAATATTGTTCCTATTTTATAACAAGCAAACTAGAACTCTGAAGGGTTCAGGTTAGTTAATAAGTACCAAGGTCAAGATTTAAATGCAGACTGACCACAAACACTTTTTATTTCCAGTACATGTGACAATGCTTAATAATGTTCACCAAATATGGTAGGACTGTGCTCTTCTGGGCCCTTTCCTATTTATGAGGCCACGTGATTAATTCTAACTAATGAATAGGAAATAAGAAACCTTTCTTCTAGCAAAGTGTATAAAGGTGGACAATTCCAGTAACCTGGGTCCTAACATACAGAAACTTGGGAACTGTAGCAAACTTGCAAACTGTAGCAAAGAAACACTCCTTTGTTGGTACAAGACTCAGAGATTTTTAAGTTGCTATCATCACATAACCTAGTCTATCCAGAATGCCACCACCACTGATCTCAAAAGTCAAATAACGTATCTCAGTGGGCAAGGATCTAAAGATAGAAGGAAAATAGTTAAGGCCCACTGAGTTTTTTTTTTTTTTTTTTTTTTTGGCAGTACTGGGGTTTGAATTTAGGACTTCAAGCCAGAAGAAGATAGGTACTCTACCACTTGAGCCATGCTTCCAGATCTCAGAAAGCTTTTCAAAGGTTCCTGTAAAATCTGGCATTAGACAGTTACCAAATCATAAAAAGCAGATAGCTTGCTCAATATGTTCTAAATAGTTTTCTAACTTTATTAACAATAATCATAGTCCAATTAAGTGGTTCTCAACTGAGGGTAATTTTTCTTCCCCAAGGAGACATTTTTTGCTCTGAGAATTCTAGAGGGAGTGTTATTGGCATTCAGTGACGAGACCAATGACATTCCTAAACAATGCACAGGAGAAGCCCCACAACAAAGAATCATCCAACTCAAAACATCAACAGTGATACTGTTGAGAAACTCTGATCTAGGTGTATAAAAGCTTTCCAATTTCAGGCAACGTTTGTGGGGTGGGAGTAAAGAATGTCAGATTCAAAGTAGCAATTTACTTTTTTCAATGAGGTCATTAGTTTTGCTAACACTTCTCATTCACTGGAGTTCTAAAATTATAAACCAGGATAACAGAAAAGAAACAGTGGGAGACAGATTGTAAGTGATGCTTATTCAGAAAATTGATCAATTCTGTAGCTGTAGAGAAAGGCAGTCATTTATTTCAGTACGTCATACTAGGTATCTTGACTACTAAAATAAGACAACTGTAACATCTTATGGTCAATCTCTTAACAAAGCTTTTAATATTTATCTGTATACTTATATTTTATAGATTCATCTTGTAGACATATTTTGTAGATTCATTAAAATTAGAGTATTAATTGGTATCCAAAGGAAAATGAACAGTGACACACTACAGGTTGAAGATCCCTTACCTGAAATGCTTGGGACCAGAAGTGTTTCAGATTTCAGGGTCTTTGAGATTTTGGAATATTTGCCTCTATATATAATGAAATATTTTGGGAATGGGACTCAAGTCTAAACACTAAATTTACTTATGTTTCATGTATACTTTTTATCATATAGACCTTAATAAATAATTTTGTATAATTCTTAAAATAATTTTGTACCTGAAACAAAGTTTCATGATGTATAGGTTTTCCAATTATGGTGTCATGTCAATGCTCACAGCTTTAAAGTATTTCAGATTTAGGAGTTTCAGATTGGGGTGCTCAACCTTTATTAGAAGAAAAAACAAAATATCTTGGGTTCCCTTCCTCCTTTCAACTGACCAAAAGACTAGAAGAATTCACCCAAGGATAAGGTAAACTAGAAAGCAGGGCTTTTACACAAGCACAATTCTGTATCATCTTGGTCTCTCTAAGTCCCAGCTGTCAATTAGCCTTATGGTAACACCTTAGTCATATACTACCTTCTCAATAGCTATCCTAAGACTATCACAAATGTTTATGAAGCACCTAATATAGATCAGGCAATGTACTATATTTTAACATCAGTCAACAGTAAGTTCTTGTTTCTAAGAACTTTAAATACTTGGAAAAAGTAGGTAAAAATTAAATCAATAACTAATTAAAAGTATGTGAGGTACTAGAAAGAACCATGCATTAACTGGGGAATCTAATCAATCCCAGGTGGGCAAGTCCTAGATAGAGTCTATTTAAAATAAGACCAGGAAAACAGTAATCTAGGTGAAGCAGATACAGTAAAACAGTCAAATCTAGATGGTCGCTGAAAGGCCCTCAAGTAGGAGTAAACAATACTGGGTTCCAGTACAAGAAATGAATGCTTCCTAAAACTTGCATTAAGAAAGAATTAGAAACCCACGAGCTTAAAGATGGAGAAAGATTATTTTAAATAAAACTTGAAATAGGAGAATAAACATGAAAACCTAAGAAAGGGAGAAAACTAGTCACAATTTATTTTATTTTAGAATTAGCATATATTAACAGTACAAGACAATTTCGTTGTAGTAATTCCATACATATGTACAGTGTGTTTTTCAGTTTTTTTAAAGTATGAAATTATCAATTACATTGTCAGAAAGTCAACTAATTTGCTCCTTTTAGTTCATGACATGTACCAAAGAAGACACTGTGTTAACAACTGCTTACAAACTTCCTTCTTCCTATCTCATATTCCTGCAAACAAATGTTTATTATAATACTCATGAATCTTAAAATATCCTTAGAATTCATCCTAAATAAAACCTTTATTATTCTAAAAAGTTCTAAGCTTCTACCTGATTTCTAAGAGCCATGGCTTAAATGGCTATAACTTTAATATCACCCTCTACTTTGGGCATAATGCCATGCTCAAATATTCATTCAAACTCACTTAAATGAAAAAAATCTGTGACTGTATTATCCTCAACTGTATAGGAAGACAAAATAAGAGTGGATTAAATTCTAAAGCAAAAAGAGTTTTCTCTATTCCTAAATTCTAAAATTGAATGTTCAAAGAATGACAATTTAAACAAATTTTGATTTAATTCATCATTTATTCTTCTTTGGGCAAACATCAGATAATATGAGCAAAGCTATATTGCTCAGTATAGTTACACATTCTTTTTTGCTTTACACAAGCTGTAAACATATTTAAATGGATAAAACTCTTGGCTGAAGACATTCCAGAACTCTGACATATGTTTACAAGTTAGAACAAAAAAACTTCATATGATTTCCATTAGACCATCATCATACAGCAAACTAAATTAGTATATGCTGTTCTTAAATTAACATCTACCATTTTTCATTTACAGTTAAAATTGTATTATCTGAAGTTTTATGAAAGAACAGAAGCTGACCATACAAATTTTGTTCACAACTGTACTGACCATTAAAAAAGCAAAAGCAAAAAAAAGAACTGATAAACATAATGAAGAAAATTGTAACTCTTCTTGTCAAAACAGCAGTAAAAACAAAACACTAAAAAGTTATTTTAGAATATTTCTGATGAGGATGGAACTTACAATAACTAATTCTTATAATATTTTGTTTTATTACTTCTTAATGCTGACATTTTAACTTTAAAGTAACAGATTACTTCAAAATAGAAACAAATCATTGTGTATTTTACAATTTCATTCTTTTATAAACTTTGACTCTAAGAAATTCAGATCAAAGGCTTTAAAACAGGCTACCTTCAAAATACATTGTTTGGCCAGAGGAATAGTTTTTTATCTGTTGAACTGGAATGCCCTCAGGAAGCACTTAATCATTCTAATTGAGAAAAGTCGCTACCACCTTCCCACACTGGTACCTGCTGGCATGAGAGACTAACTCCACTTTTAATATTATAAACCCAATGTGTACCCACAAAAATTATACATGGAACAAAAATTAATGTTATAAACTTGATGCTAAATTTTCTAGGTTATATTTTTAATTTGGGAAAAAAGATCAAACCAAAAAGGTGTTACTTTCATAATATTTCTTTATATAACAAGTTACTAGAGATATATACTATCCTCTGAGGAAGAATACTGCTGAGTTATCTGAAATCTGAATAAGATGCATCATTCACACAGAAAACTATCTATTCTGCTTTTGCCTCCCAAATAATCTCTTTCAACTTTACCCATATGTGCAAAAATAAAATTTTCATGTTTCAGTTGAAGAAAAAGTGACATAAATAATGCTAATAAAATAATAAGCAATCAAGGCTTTCTTCTAATCCTGCAGAATGAACAAAAAGGGAGAGATCTTGTTAAACACACTGGAAGAGAGGAGAAATCTGAAATAAATGTAGCCTTAGCCCCTTTTAGGTTACTAAATCCTCAACTTGTACAGGGTAAAGAATGAAAGGGCACAAAATGTTTCTTGGTGGAAAAGACTGCAAGGAAAGCAAAGCAATTGAGCAGTGCTGAAGAAAACATTCTAGAAAACACAAAAATCTGCAGTTACGAAGAGAACCAAGAAATGATGGCAAAAGTTTAAGCAGCAGCAAGAATAACACAGAAATTAGAAAGACAGTAATCTTTAAGGTCTTTTTAAAGTTGCATACAAATAAAAGGCAAACCTCCAAATCTTCAGAGATGTAAATCTAACAGTGAACATGCATGCACCTTTGACATTGTCTCATTCCTTTAAACTTAACTACTGATTGCCATATGAGTATTCAAAAATTCTTAATTATTAAAGCAAGCTGCTTAGGTGTACTTTGGTGTACTAAATTAAAAGTTTCACCCCATTAATCCCACCAACATCAAAGTTAATATAATCAATTTCATTTTATAAGCATTGATTAAATTTGCTATTGCTGAACTGTATTACTGCAATTGCAAAGAGAAGAAGTCATTTCACTTCAGAAAAATTACACTGAATTTGACTACTTTGGAAACTTTTAGTAGTGGGGTAAAATTTAAAACACAATTTATTCCAAAACAAGAAAATGACCAGAATTCTATATAAATAAAAATATCACTGAATAAAATACAATGTTGGTCTCAGAATGATGTTCCCCACAATGAACATACAAATTTTTAAAATACCACTAAGTGGACATAAAGTTTATCTCTGACATATTTCTAAAAGTCTGTATTTCTCAGTAGCATTTAGAACAATCTAGCACTGAACAGAAATATTCAAATCAGCACAAAGTACTAAAACATAATTGTGTAACATTTTATAAACTAGCTGCAATTTTCAGTAGTTGCATTCACCAACCGTGTAACAGAATTATAATGTTCTCCTAAGCCATATGCATGTCTCATATATCTGAAATAAAAATGAAGAAATGAGTGGCTTTGATGAAAATAATTTATTGCAGATAAATGCTTATATTATATACATAAAACCAAGCATTCTAAATGTCTTAGACCACAGGAGTGTCACTCAATAGACTGCATGAGCATATTAATTACAGGTTCAACAAGTATCAGCAATCGGCAAATGGTTCAATCACTGGAAGGAAAATGGAAAGGCTAAAATGCTGAGTACTCAATAAGCTTAAAGTTTCACCTAAATCCAAGCCATTACTAACAATCTTAGTAGGAATAGCTAATAAACATTAAGAATAAATTCTCTATGCTGTATTTCTATCATACAAAATACTTTCACATACGAGGGAAAAAATCCTTAAGAAAAAAACAGGCCATATGAATATATTTAAGGTTTTACACTTGTTGAAACTTTTAATACTATAATGTCAAACTGGGACAATACACAAATTAGTCCTAAAATTGTGTAGCCTTTTGAAATGACTTTATTCTTAACTCATACTAATCATTAAATCACTAGAGGTATAAACAATGATGTAAATCACATACTCTGATGCCTTCTAGTTCTATAATTGCCTTTAACACAAGATAAAGAGAATAAACTCAGCTAAAGATAGTCTTTTAATCAATTAACAAATATAACCTATATATTCCTTTTTAGTCTTAATGATGGGAAAAAACAGTAAAAATGTCTAAGTACTTACACAAGAATTAAGGGTTCTTTTGGATATTCTTCACCAACTATAATAGGAGGAGAATCTGCCTGTATTATCTCTATTGGTGTCTGTAAAATGTGAGATAAAGCTCTTAACTACAGAGAAAAAAAAGATGCATTAGTAAGGAAAATAAAAATGCAATCTTATTCAAGTCATAAACTAATGAAGTACATACAGGGCAACCAGTCAGAGCAAGGATATGCTTTGTTTGTAACTATACCAAGAGCCTGGCACATAGTGAACACAGTAAGTATTTGTTCAATAAAGAAAAAATACAATATTTATTAAATCAAAGGCAGTTTTCTCAAGCCTTTACCACACAACAACATTGTAAAAATACCAATGTCAAAGTTAATAAAATGGGATAATGATGGGTAGATTGGGTTTATAATAATAATCTCTCAACTTTTGGATGCACTTGAAATTTTTCTAATAAAAAGATTTTAAAATGTCCATTTAAGTGCCAGACAATCTGTAAAAACCGAAGGACTACAGATGGGAATAGGGCAACACAGGTGGTTTATTTTCTTTAAAGCATTTCAAATGACACTAATGAGAACCACTGTTGTATAAATTTTAAGGCAAGAGTAGAATGAGATATATATATATATATATACATATACATATATATATGAATTCTTTTGTCCTATCAAGAAATTTAAACCTGATTAACATATTACACAACTGTGATAACATTTAATATAAACTTGGAGCTTAAATTAAATCTGATGAGTAAGTCACTAGTAAAATTAATGTTTATGTTTTGTTGAGTTACTATGACCAAGCATTCTAAACACTTATATACTAAATATGTATTAATTCATTCAATCCTCTTAATAACTTTATGGGATACTAGTGTTAAAGACATAAAATATGAGGCAAAGAAAGGGTAAGAGAGTTGTCACAGTCAAATATTAAGAAATTAAAATCACCTTTGCTAAACTGAGGAAGTCTAACTCTAGAGCCCAAGTTCATAAACAAATTAATCATTTCCAGCCTTCAATCACAGTCCCCTAATCATTACAACAATATTCCATCAAGAACATGGTACTTTTAGGAGCTTTAGTAAGGATATAAGAAATTAGTTTGGGAATACTGAAAGGGTTCTATGCTGCATAGTGACAAATATAATCCCATACTCTATGCTGCAAAATGTTTAACACATTTTTTCATATAATCTAAAATAACATTTTTTAAAACCTAGTACAGAATGGAGAGTGCAAAACAAGCTGTGGAAATTACAACATCCTCCTCAACTTTTCAAAATTCATATAATAAAGATTATCCTTTGGTTTTGATTAATAACATAAATTTATCCCATTATGGAAACAGAAACTTTTATTTAAAAGGAATTCACTAACAGTTCTTGAGTAAATACCCTTCAAAGGATGTTGTAGAAAGTTTTTCTGAGTTTAAACATAGGTCTCCAATACTCATATTAATTTGTTATCCCTTTAAGAAAGTGCAAGAATCTTTATTCTTAATGTAGTACAAAGCTACTATGAAGATTTCCTAAGTTTCTGAGACCTAGGAGAGGCACACAATTCTAATGGACACAGTTCCCTCTGGTGGAGAAGTACAATTATAGCACTCCTAAGAAAAAAATTTGGGTAAACATTCATGTCACATCTTCAAACAATGCCGATCCTAGTATGAATTATTTAGCACCACAAACTACTCAAGATGACTAATCACCACTGTACACTGTTAGTAATATCGCTAGATTCACCCATTTGGCACTTTAGTTCACTAACTTTCATTTACATAATATCTGCCTTAATGGTCACAAATGCTTAAACTGAGTACAAACAGGGGTCTTATTATCCTCATTCAATAATTAAGAACTTGGGCTCAAGAGGTTGGCTAACTCTCCCAAGGTCACAAAACGAAGTAGAAGGAAGTCAGAACTTGAAGTGAGGACTTGCCTTCTTATCCCCTAATACCCCAGACTGCTTACCACTACTGGGCCCACTTAGGTGTTTTAGGTCTTTATTTTGTTTTAATTGAAGCTAAGAGTGTAATTTTAAAAATTAGAGCTAAAAAGAAATCCTTACAACTCCCTATGAGTGACTGAACGTACACCACCTACTGCTATCACCTAAGTCACTATCAACTAAGAATTCAAGGCATAATTGTAATAGACATGTTGTAGTGAGATCTGACCTATAATTTCACATAAAAATATCATTTTCTACTTTTTTTTATTCATTGAAACAAGGCTGTAGGCATAACTTAAGCTGAAGAGCAACCTGTCTAACAAGTGCAAAGCCCCCAAGTTCAAACCTCAGTACTGGCAAGAAAAAAATTGTTTAGAAGAGCTAGAATTTAAAGGCTGGTAGAGCAGCTCCAGTGGTACAATACCAGCCTACCAAGCACTTAGTACCTGAGTTCAACTGCCAAAAAAAAAAATTAAAAAATAAATTGAAACTGTCTCACTAGTAGCCTAAGCTAGTCTCAAACTCCTGACACTCCTGCTTCAGCCTCCTCAAAGCTGTAATTACAGGTGTGTACCACCATGCTGGATTGTTTTCTATTTCTAATGTGAAGGAGAGATTATAGGCATGCTGTGGAAGTATTCACTTTTCTAAGTACTGAAAACTGAAGATATTGGCAGAAGCAGCATCACAAATGAAAACTTACGCAGATGTAACGACAGCTTCTCTAATATCTAACACTGAGATATTTGAAATTGTGCTTCACTGACTCAAGGTACATACTTTCACCAAATGCATAAATTTATTAACTCCCTATTTCTTTATTGGTAGAGAAATGGTAAATATATAATGAAAAGGAATCTTTAAGAAGAAACTGGAATCAACTGAAAAATGTCTCAAAACTACAGAGGGAATTCAAATATAACTTATCAACCCATAATCATGATGAATAATTACAAACTTACCTCAAGCTGACCTCCCCATGCAGCTGTACTTACAATATCATCACAGTACTTTCCAAACTCTTCTGTAGAGAACAGATCAGAATAGAGCCCTTAGTAATTTTCATAACTCACAAGATTCCTCTTATAGCTCCCACATTCCTGATGAAAATGCCCAAGTCATGAACATCTCTCTTCTGTACCAGCTTCCACCAGAACTGAATCTACTTCCCAGATCCACACTTAATTCACACCTATTTTCTACCACCTTTCCATCCAAGAGCAAAGCAATACATTTCTGACTCTCTCCCTCAGCCTGAGGCCTATGACCTATACAATAAACACTTCTCTCTCTTCATCCAGTGCAGTAATTCTAAAAACTGCCACCATATTTTCTATCTTGACATGTTTTGAAGCCCAAACCTGTGCCCAAAAGAATAGCATGACTAAAACATGTAGCCTCTACACAAAAAAAGGTTTACTGCAAGACCCCATAAGAAATACGAGAAGAGAATTAGGATAAAGTACAAATGAGTTTTTCTTCAGAGGTAGATTCATACAGTACCTTACTTTCTTTTTTTTCCTTGTCAGTACTGGGATCTGAATTCAATGTTTCATGCTTACTAGCTAGGAACTCTACCACTTAAGCTAGGGCCACAGACCTTTTCGCTCTGGTTATTTTGGAGACAGGGTTGTGTTTTTGGCCCAGGACTGCCTGGATCTCGATCCTATTTTAAGCTCTCCTACCCCACCCTCAAGCACACCCAGTTTTTTCTATCGAGATGGGGGGGGTCTCACAAAATTTTTGTCTGGGCTGGCCTAGAACTTTGATCCTCCCGGATCTCAGTTTCCCAAGTAACTAGGATTACAGGCATGATTCATAAGTGCCCAGCTTCAACTTAACGTTGGAAACACTTCCATTATTTACATCAGTATCAGTCTTAGTCAAGGAAAAAGATCTTCAGAGCAGCCCTAAGCATAGTAAAAGACCTAATCTCTGAGTTTAAGCATAGTAAAAGACCTAATCTCTGAGTTGTATCTTGTTCATACAACTTTTTATAACGTGTGTGTTAAAATGAACATCATTCCAGTCCAGAAAGGTCAAAACAAACTATGGGAAACTAAAAGAAAAGTATGTCCTATGTGTTTGTCTCAATCACTATTAAATCCTCAGTGTTCAGAACAATGCCTGGAATAGTGGTGTTTAATAAATATTGATTAAATGGATGACAATGAAGTCTTTTGTCTTTTTCTCTAGTTTCAATGATTTAGTAATCATGCTGGTGGGGATAAAGTATAGAGGAGCTATTTCTCACGTTATTCTACACTTATCAAAATAGATGGAAAAATGTGTTTCATGTGTCAGAGAAAATTCTGGTTATTTAGAAAATAGCAATGACATTAAATATCAAGAGATATGTCTAATATGACGTGTATGAGAAACCAGTTGGCTACAGAATTAGAAACATCTATAGTCATACCTGAGATGTATCAGCAGATACCATCAGCCATACTCACTAAAAAAAAACCTAATCCACTTCCAGTGCTCACTCCTCCCTTGAATTTGTCATGTTCTACCTCCTCCCATGGAGGGCAGACTCCATTAAAGGAAAGTCAAGCTTAACCTTCTCTCCAACAAATCCTGGCCATATGACTTGCTCTCAATGGATAATGCCAAATCTGCCATCTTCTTCAAAGACTAACTTTCCTCTATTCTATTCTTTACTCCCCAGAAACCCTTTCAAATTTTTACTTGCTCTCTTCCTCATTTGCTAGCTGTATATTTCTTTACTTCACTGTAAGTATTTTACTTAATCATTAAAAGCATTATAATAAATAAGGCATTTATCTCATTTGTTTATGGTTTTGCAAAACCAATTTTACTTGAATACTAATCTTCCTAATTATAGCTTATTAATAACAGCATTAAATTTTCCAAAGTAAAAAACAGAAATTAGTTTGCATGATCCTCTACTTATAATCTTGAAGCCCTACTACCATTTTTCTTACATAAAACAATACATTTAACTACAAAATAAGGTTAAGTACATGAGATCTAAGTAAAATGCAACAGCATCTATTAAAACTTTAGAAAACAATTTGTGTCTAAATTTTGTGAATATTTTTTAATTCATTAAGGATTAGATATAGGTCCTTCTGCTCCATATTAAGAGGCAATTTATTTAAGAATCACCAAAACCACTAAAAAAAGTTTTGTAAAGAGAAGTAAGTCACCTGGAGTATACATATCTCCTGTATTAGGGTTTGTTAAAAATGGCAGAAAGTCTTCCACATGGCTTTGCATATATTCAGCAGTTTGGCTTCTTAAGGCAGCCACTGTCAGAGCACTGTCCTGTTCTTTCAGTTGATCCTCAATGGCTCTATACATGCAGTGCCCATCAGATGGAATCTGTTTTATTTCCAACTCTCTGGCTGCCAATATTTGAGCAAGTTTTTCACTTTCTACATGTCTGGCTCCAGATAAGTTCTCAATTTCAGCTTCAGCTATCCTTTCTTCCCGCTCCTTTTCCAGTGCAGCTTTTTTTTCCTAAGATGAGAATATAGGAAAGTTATTTCATAATAACTAGGATTAATTCTCATTTATTAAGGGGATGGAGATGTTAAGATTCTCAAAAACTCTGTCATTTTTGTCCCTTCTTCCACAAGGATTGTACTTTTCATTTGTGGCATTTTCTACACTGTACACTTCTTTAAGGGCAAACTATTTTTATTCATCTGACCTGTGTGTCCCAAGGACTTAGCTCTCTGTATTAGGAAATAAGAAAGCCTTTCTTGCAGCTGGGCATGGTGGCACATCCCTGCGATCCCAACATTCAAGAGGCTGAGGCAGAGGGACTGAATGCTTGAGGCCATTAATGCTGCACAGAATCCCAGGCCAGCTTGGGCTACATAGTGAGACTTTGTGCCTCAAAAAAAATTTTTTTTTAAAAACAAAGAAAGAAACCCTCTTCTTATGAAATCTGTGTGCTGAATGTACTGTGAGTAAATAAATATCTACGTATTTATTTATTTTTGAGACAGGGCCTTGCTGGCCTCAATCGTGCCATCCCCTCTTGTCTTAGTTTCTCAAGTGCTGGGATTACAGGCACATGTCACCACACCCAGCTTTATGAAGTCTATTTAAAAATGAAATGCCAACTTTCTAAAACATTTACTTGCTGATTTCAAAGTATTATTTACAGACTGGGTTGTTCTAGACCTTAAAGCACATTGTCATCATAATCAAATTCAGGCTAATCTGAGCTTCTTATCACTCCAGCCAGTGGCATTATGTTAAAGCCTTTGGAAGGAAGGTGCACATTCTTTCTAGTCCAGCTTTTAAAAGAGTATAGATAGCACCTACACACACTTAATGAATACACAAATACTTCTCCTTTCCAAAAAAGCAAATTAGTACACATAAAGTTACCCTTAGGAACCACGTGTGCTCAACAGGTTTGAAGCACATCCTTCCAAACTATTTCTCTGTGCATGTTACTAAATATACTACAGTCACAGGAAATGCGTAACGTGCTTTATAACAAAAATGGTATCATACTCGACATTCTACATTTTGCTTTCCTTATTCAAACATTAGGAATTCTCCCCATGGCAGTGTATTGCAAGGATGGGGTGAAGTGAGGGCAATGAGAGATTTGTGATGTAAGTAGAGTACAAAGCTTGGGAAGAAAAGATTCCTGACAGCTCAACTAGCAAGGATCGCAAGCCAGAGAGCACTGTATGATTCACAGCTAAAAACAGTACACAGAGCTAAAGGACCAGAGAAGAGTGTCAAGAGCTGAGGTGGAAGGCTAAAAAGATAGGTATGAAGTTAATAATTAAGTGTATGCTTACAGAGCACTAAAAACATATATATATATGTATATATATATATATATACATATATATATATCAATAAACAAAATATTTGTAGTGCTTCTTCTGGATGGTGTAAGTATAAAACACATTCTATTTAGAGTGTGTGTGTATGAGCTTTTATGTATCTTTCTAATTCTCCACCATGAGTTTGTTTTGGTTGTACATTCAGAGAAAACTGTTCTTAAATTTAAGAAAATAAAAACAAACTAAATTCTACAAAAATTACAGTGAAGAAGTTGGTAAGTCAAGACTAGGAAAAAGTAAAGACTTTCATACCCCTAGCTCTAACTCTCCTTGGGCAGAAGTGAATGAAAAGGCAAACTTCAATTAAACTTACTGCCACAAGTATGACTTGTACTACCTGCCTGTTATGTGCCATGTAAAATGAACCTGAAGTGATTTCTAAGCTACCTATATCAAAAGCAGTAGTATCTCTAACAAAACAAGCTGGAAGATTTTTCCTCCCAACTTTAATCGTGACATAATAAGCAATTTACTTCACTGCAAACCTACCACTATGAACTGTAGATCAGGGAGACATAAAAATCTTAAAACACAAGATGGCACTATTACTTTATAAAAGACTAAATAACAGTTTCAGAGGGGAGAGGAAGAATAAGCACCTTAGACATCATCTAATCCAAAACCCCTCATTTTCCTCTTCTGAGGAAACAGCACGCAGAAAGATTTCCAAAGGCCATACAGCTGGTTAGAGCAGTGCAGGGGCCAGGGACAACACTCAGAGCTCCTTCTCTCCAGGTACCTAAATCAGAATAAAAGTTGGAGCAGATGGGAGCTGGAGTTAATGATGTCATACTTTTTCATGGCAAAGTGGAAATTCATTCTAACTACAACATGCTGTGAAACTCAAATGCTCATTCCAATCATTTTATTTTCTTCCCTAATGCTTTGCTTCAGAATTACAAGTTAACTGAGTTTGCTCTCCAGTACAGTGGGTGGGAAATCCATTGGACTCTTTTCTCTGCAACATAATTTCCCAACAGCATTAGGCACTTAATCCTCTACAACTAAAGTATTGGAGACAGAATGATACCAACAGGATCTAAAGGAAAAAATACATAACATAAAAAATAGCATGGAACTCATAAATATATTGTTGGTAAAACTACAGTCACGTTGATAGAGTAATACAGCAAAAACAACTCAAGGGGAATCATGAAAGGTGGGCACCGGCCCTAGGTTCATAGTAAACTTTCAGTATGCCACTGAGAGATTTTATCTTTCTCATTTGTGAAATTAAAAAAAAAAAAAAAATGACCCCAGTTGTAATTTCTACTTTGGACTCTTTGCCACACCAAAAAACTTCAAAGTTCTTTTAATTAAATAAAATACTCCAGTGTTTTTCCAGATTAAAAATACGATATACGCTTTACAAGATTCCATTAAGTCTTACAATAAAGCTTCCTAAAGTTTTGTCATGTTTTTCTTCCAGAATTGTATCTTTCCAAAATGTAAATATAACTTAACTGGCTTTTTATTCTTTGGTGCTTTGGCAAAATGAGAGGTTCCAAATACACCTAATTCTAATTGTCCATCCTGATTTCAGGTTCCATTTTCTCAAGCATTATAAACTTTGGAGTTTTCAGTTCCAGAATCTTATTAATGTAACTAATAAGGAACTGGGCATTACTTCCAAAGGCATTTTCACTGCCAAAGACAAAAAGCAGCTAACCATAAAAGGCACTAACTTTTTCAGAATATGGTGAAAAAGGTATTAACCTGAGTTAGAAGAAAAGTAACAAAATCTTGGGAAGCATGTAATTTTGTTTCTGTTTTTTGTTACCTAAAGATCCAGGTAGGGATTAAAGACAGAAAGGAAATACATCCTTATGTTTTCTAAAATTAAGTAGGCTATTTTACAATGTATCTGTTAGTAAGTAGAAATAGATCCAAAAAATAGTTAGGCTACTGGGACACAAAAAATCTGTTTTTCATCTACAAAAGCTAGATGACAATTGTGGGGTCACCACAAAAAAATGCCTATCATAAATAAAGAGTTGGACTAGATAACCTCCAAGATAGCATGGGATCTAAACTTCATGATTGTTAAGATTCATAATCATTATTATTTAAAAATAAAATTTCAGGGGCTGGGCATGGTGATACATGCCTGTAATCCCAGCAATTCAGGAGACACAGATCAGGAGGACGGAGGTTCAAGGCCAACCTGGGCAAAAAGTTATGAGACTCCACCTCAACAAACAAGTCAAGTATGGTGGTATACAGCTGTAATCCCAGCCATGCAAGAGGTATAGGAAGAAGGTCAGCCCTGGGCAAAAAACTTGAAGCCCTGTCTGAAAAACAGTTGAAGTAAAAAAGGTCTAGGGGCATGGCTCAAGTGACAGGGCACTTACCTAGCAAGCAGGAGGCATCTACGAATAAATGTTTGACTATTTGCAATTTAACTTTCAAACAAAAATGACATTACTTCTTGATTTAATTTTTTAAGAGGTATAGTGTACCATACTTAACACAGCAAGCAATGTTATCATCTGTTGATCCCCTTGGTTCTCCAGGCCTGTGTTAAGGAATCTAGCAATAGTGTATTATTTAGCACTCAAAATAATCCTATGAAGTAAGTACTATTTTCCTTTGTTATTTATTCATGAATACATATATATCTATATAAAACTAAAGCCTAAAGAGTAATTTTTCTTAGTGTGTCTTTTTATTGATTCCTAAGAATTCTCTAGACATCAAGATGAGTTCTTTAGAGACTTTACTTTTCTTTTTGCTACTTCCCCCAGGCTGATAAAGCTCTGAGAGAGGCCACAGTGCTGACAAGTGGCTTGTGATTCATGAGCTTTATTTCAGCCCCAAATTCTTTTTTTTTTGAACTCAGGGTTTCATGCTTGCAAAGCAGACACTCTAACACTTGAGCCATACCTCAGAAGTTAAGAGTCTTAAACAAAATTACAAGTGAAATTAAAACTTCATCTGGGACAAGGGGTGTAGATCTGTTGTACAGCAATTATGTAGCAATGCTGGAAAAAAAAAGAAAAAGAAAATCTTATCTGTCTGATACTAAACTCCATACTCTACTAAATTATGTGCTACTAAATAAAGTGCAAAGGTAATTTAAAAATACACATTTAGGTCTGGAAGCGCGGCTCCAGCAAGAGAGCCTCTGCCTAGCAAGCAAAAAGCCCTGAGTTCAAACCTCATTACCACCAAAAAAAAAATTTTTTTTTTTAAATAATGCATTTCAATGCTAGAAAACAGTTGGGTGTAATTTCAGCACCCAGGAGGTTAAAGCAGAGAGATGGAGAGTTCAAGGCCATGCTGGACTACATAGAGACCCTGTCTCAAATAGCCAAAAATAAATAAATAAATCCTAGCAAACATGAATAATTGGTAAAACAGTATTTGGGACTAAAAAGATTGGATTTAAACCTCTTTTCCTTTTTTCAAAGTGAAAAGGCTTTATCTATCTAATGTCATTCTATAATGTTAAGATCATTATCTCATTACTTCCAATAAATGTTTCCTTATGGCTCTTTGATAAATGTAGTATTTCATTCCCACTTTTGTTTTTAGACATACCATTTCTCCTATTTGTAATAACTTGTGATCTATATAATTATACTTCCTTCAAGGTTTAACCAATCATTTAACAAACTTTCCCTTCTCTAAATTTTATTTATAATTAACCATTACATAAACACCAACATAATACCTGTGTATCTTGTTCAAACTTCTAGGTTTAAATCCTTGTTTTGTCACTAGTATCATAGTTTTTAAGAGGGCTATGCATCAGACTCACCTGGGCCCACATTCTAAAGATTCTAAACTAAGTCTGTGATAATGTATTTGTCTATATATATGTATATACTGCACTCCCCCTCTTCAAGTCCACTCTCCTATGAGAACTGAAAATCTTATTTTATATTGCCTTAGGCCTATTTTCTTCTCTGTAAAACAGAGATAAGAAATCCTACTTCATGGGACTATTGTCAGGACTGAATCGGATTTCCTATTTCATAAACAGCTTAGCACAGTATCTGATATGTAGAAAGTGCTTAATAGATATTAATTTAGATCCCTTCTGCACCATTATTTTTTTTTCCTATTCCCTTCTTGGACTACACCTAAGATAGTACTGAACACACAGCACTAACTTTTGTACTTGGTGACATGACTTTCGTACCCGTCTCTTTTGCGCTTTTGATATCCGAGGAGGTTGATTCTCAAGCACCAAGTTTGAAATGTTAACAGCAACAGAATCTATCTGAAGGAAACAAAACGCATTAAAAAAAAAAATCAATGAAAAATACTCTAAGTACGAGATTACTAAATTATTATTAAAAATCACAAATATAACCAGTTCCACATTTCAAATTTGAGCAACAGTACTAGACATCACATTAGATAATACAGTTTTGTTTCCTTTTTCTACTTTAATAAATTCCCAAGAAATTTCCTTATAACTTCAGAGATAAATGCCTGCCTTCCTCTCCTCTTAGAATGCTTACTCCATTAATCTACGCACAGTACTAATCACTGCATATTTACTTAGCACTGCACTCCATCCTTCTCTGCATGTTCTGTTCTGGCTTAGCTCACTATCACCTTCACGAGCTAAAATGGGGCAGCACAGACCCTTCCTCATTTTAATTAGACAGAACTTGGTAAGTGCTGATCCCTGACCATCATAACAACTGAGTTTTTCCTGTCCTTTCCTTTTTATAAAACTGGTAACATTAAGCAGAAAATATTTAATTTGTATTATCAGCCATTACAAATAATTCTAATACTCAAATGGTTATAATGTGTTTGTTAAAGCAAGAAAAAAGATTATACATTATTTAACATAGACTTCTATTAGGATAATTAGCTAGCATTTTATTACTGAAGCTAGTATTTAATATGACACATACAAAAAATAACTCAGCCTCTAACAGATGGAGACAGGAGTCACCAAAGGTTATCACTCAAATGATGAGAATATCAAAATCAGATAAAGACTTTAAAAGAATAGTTATCTACTTTACTGAAATTAGGAATACTATGATTTTTCAGAGGATTCTGTTAAAGTTCAAAGCCATACTGACAGCAGGCAAGATACAAAGAGGCATTTGAAAAACAAAAAAGCAGTAAGAATTTAGGTAGTTCAAAAAGAAAACAAGTTTAAGTTAGTGAAAAAGTTAATAATTTGAAGTAGAATAGGATTTTGTATTTTAAGTCGGATAATATGTGGCTTAAGAGTCACAGGCTGGTGGAGTGGCTCAAGCGGTAGTACACCAGCTTATCAAGTGTGAGGCCCTGAGTTCAAACCCCAATACATCCCCCCAAAAAAAGAAGAAAAAAGGGAGAAACCAACTTTTCTTTTCTTGAAAACATAGGAAAGAAATCTCAAAACTGAAGTCCTAAAACAGCAAACAAAACTATCTTGCTAATAGAAAAGATAGGGAGACAATCAGGAATGTGCAATCGTAATGACACAATGAAACACGCTGAGCATCATTCCTTGTTTTTTGGAGATAAGGTATTTTAAGGGCAAGAAGTCCAGGATCTTGACAACTGATTAACAAAGTTAAAATAATAAAGACTGTTATTTAATATATGACCGTTATAAATCAGTACACACAAGTTGTTTCCTTTGTCAACAGCAGACCAAAAATGAATCCAAATTTTAATTGTGGCAGATGAGTTTTTGCATAGATTTAAGAAATCTCTAACTACCAGCTGGGCACTGGTGAGTCAAACCTGTAATCCTAGCTACTCAGGAGGCAGAGCTCAGGAGATACAAGTTAAGTTCAAAGCTAGCCCAGACAAATAATTCATGAGACCCTATCTTGAAAAAAATCCATCACAGAAAGAGGCTGGTGGAATGACTCTAGGTGTAGGCCCTGAGTTCAACTAGTACTGTAAAAAAAATATTCTAACTACCAAAAGTGGAGTATGGCTGTAGAATCTATGATCCTTCATATCCAAAACCCACGCAGTAAACTACTATACTACACAAAGCTATAACTGAATTTAGTGAGACTTACTCAGGTTCTGGCTTTGGGATTTAATAGCTGTTACGATTTCAGGACAAAGTTCTAATCTCTCTAAGACTGCTTCCTGCTGGAAAAGTGAGATTATCTACTCTTACTTCATAGGTAATACTTTACAGTGTTACTAGGGATTACATGAGATAATGCCAGCCAATGTGTTAAAGTGCTTGGCACATACATGTTAGCTACAATGATAAATTAGTTAAAATGATGAAAGTTGGCATGTTCCTATTAACCCAAAAAGAATCAGTTAAATTTCATTAATTAAAACATGTTCATAGAGTACTTGTGATATTTAAGGACTTCACATTTGTTGTCCCAATTGGGTCTTACAAGGTCTTGTGATGAGACAGCAAAAGCATTTGTGCCATCATATTATATGTGGGTAAATTCGTACTCAGGAGGACCAAATAAGTGCCCAGGTTACAGTCCTATTCACTGGCCGTTCTGGAACTAGAAGTCTGGTCTTCCAATTCTCATTTAGTGAAACATCCTCATGCACGTTTTATCAACCTGTTCATCTTTTGGGCAAAAAAACATTAAAGAAATGTGTTTTCTTTGCTATCTCCTTTATAAAACACAGTCGTGTAAACGTGGTCACAAAAACATTAATGAAAGGTGATGCATGAACATGAGAGTGACTTCTTTTCTATACTAATTTTATATAATAGAAGTACACAGATGTTTTCAAATACTGTAAAGACAAACATTATTCCACACCTTCTTCTCCTTGGAGGCCAGCTTCAATTGCTCCAGTTCCTCTCTCTGTTTCTGCTCCATCTCTTTTTCCAACTTCGCAATATCTTCAGTGAGTTGCTTCCTCCTCTTTTTGTCATTCTTGGGAACGGCATTCTTCATTCCTTGAATTTTGGCTAAAAACCCACCAACATCACTATTAAATCAGAAACTCGGGGATAACAGGAACCAATACGGGGAGAAGGGTATAGAAAAAGTAATTATAGAAGCAACAAGTCATCACAACAGACAGCGACAAGGAAGAGCCCAGATGAAGCAAACGCCTCATTAGTATGACCTAGAGCCTGTAAGGTGAAGTTATTCAAAACGCACCCATTCGGGCGGGGCGTCGGTAGGTGGGGCAGCAAAACTGGAAGGTGCGGGGGCGCTGCGGCGTCGGGGGCGCGCACGCGGAGCGGCGGGTATCGGGGCAGGAAGGCTCTTGGAAGGGCAGGGATTAAGGGGGCGGGACAGAACACTGTGTTTGTTACTCCGGGGACGTCGGCAGGACCAGGTCAGCCACCCCTCACTCCCCACAGGAGACCCGCCATGCGTCCTTCCCTGGTTCCCACTTGCAACTCCTTCCCGTCACCTTGCAACTCCTTCTTCTCTCTGCGATGCCTTCTCACCAGCTGCTCCTCTTCATCAAACTCTTCGGTCACGACTGCCTCCATGACAACCAGGTCGCCAGACACGCGGTGGAGGAAAGCCGCACAATCTGCGGGCAAACACCTTCCACCCCTCAACCCTCACCCGGGGCGCCATTGGCCACCGCTAAGTCCCAGCCCCGCCTTCAAGGCGGCACCGGAACAAGAAGGCGACTGGGGTGGTGCGCGTGCGCACTGCCGTGACCCAGCTCTGGTGGGGTGGAGCACCGAGGGAGGAAGCGTGAAGGTGTGGCCTAGGCCGGCTGCTGATTGACAGCTCTCTAGAGCTTCTCCACCAATAAACCTACGCACCAGCCTATTGGTCCTGACTTTAGGCGCACAGAGATGACGTAACGATATCGTTTTTCTCGAACTTTTTCAATTTTGTTTTCTGATTTCGAAAGATGACCTTTAATGCTTGGCCCTCTTTGCTAAGTAGAGCTGCTGAAAAGATAAGTAAGGAAAATAAAATTTTAGTAAAACCATAGATAATCAGTGAGGATCTTTTGGTTTCATCTAGCGCACGATAGAGAATTAAATTTTGGTTGTTTTCAAGGTGGGAATACTGCGTTGAGAAGAAAGGAACAGAGATAAGTAATCAAGAAAATGCCTCGTTGTGACGGATATGCCGATGGAAATAAAAGACATAGATAGGATTAAGCATTTTATAATACAAAGGCTTAAATACCCATGCTCAGTGATAAGGTAATGTCAGATCAGTTGGAAGTTTCAGGGAGTGAGAGAAGTGTAAGTTGGATTGGCCACAAACCCAAGTTACTGAGGTAAATGAGGAACAAGAGAAATTCTCACAGAATGTACAGAATAGGGGAAAAGATACACTAACGGGCCAGCCCAGGGGATAAAATATACGCTATTTGGGAATGCTTGAGCCAGGACAAAGCAAGTGAAGCTGAAACAATAATTAAGGAACTAACTGGGGAACATTTGCCAGAGTTAAGAAGGACCAGGCCTATAAATGGAAAAGGCTCACAGGATAACTTTAAATGTAATGAAAAGAAAGCAACACCTGGTACCGTTTTTAAATTGCAAGGATAAAGACAAAATTTTACAAGTATCTAAATAGAAATAAGAACTATAAAAGGGCAAAAGATGGGTTGACCTCAGATATTTCTCTTGCAGTTCTAAATGCAAGAAGACAATGGACCAATATCTATAGAGTTTTAAGGGAAAATAATTTTTGAACCAAGAGTTGTGTACACTGCCAGGTTATTATGTCCCTACACCGTCAACTGGAAGACATTCTCACATATGCAGGGGTTAAGGTCAACCAAGAACCTTTTCTGAAAATTTCGTTGAATGATTTACTGCATCCAACAGAGAACACAAATTAGTATTAGTTCAAGAGTAGGAAAGCAGTTGTTTAAAAGAATTAATGGTAAGCATGAAAAATAGTTAGGAAGCATTATGTTTACATAGTTGTATGGAGGACAATAAAACTAAATACAAAAATAATTTGTAAACTGGGCCCAAAAATTTTAGTTTATATAGTTTTGTAGGGTGTTTTGTCTTTTGGTATTTTTGAAACAGAATCTCACCGTATAGCACAGGCAGTCTTCAAACTTGTGATTCTCTTACCTCAGCTTCCCAGAAATTAAAGATACGTGCCACAGTGCCTGCCCAAATTATATAGTTTGAAATGAAAGGGCATGCCAAATATTCAATGCATTGGGCAAATACTGTTTGATTTTTGCCATTACATGTAGTGAAGAAAAAGATGCATGTATGTAAATGTATGCATGTATATAAATGTTTGTAAAATAAGAAGGCTTCATCACTGAACAGTAAAACAAAAGTACTGTAAAAACATAATCTGACAAAATTAGAAAATTGCACAGTTTATTTCCCTTTGTGTAATTATAGACAGAAATCTAACAAATTTTTCTATAATCTCTAATACTGATAGTGGAAGAAGCAAACTTGAGTTAGGTAGACATAAGAGACCTTATGTGGTAAATAACACCATATTTATATGAGGTCAATGTTCATATCTTGATTTGCTTGATAGTTTTACTGATGTGAACTATGTTAAAATGTACATTTAAAGTTAGTGCATCTCTTGTTAAGTGATCCTTCAACTAAAGACAATGCATATTAGCAAAAACTGTTGGACTCTGACTTCAACATTTTGGTTGGTTTTTTGGGGGGGCGGTGTTGGTTGGTTTTTATTTTTTGCTATACTGTGGTTTGAACTCATGGCCTCTCACATGCTAGGCAAGTACTCTACCACTTGAGCCATGTCCCCAGTCCTTCTTGCTTTAAGGTATTTTTTTCAGATAATCTCTTCTCCACCTTTTGGATAAGATCAGGGGTAGATATGTTTCAGATAAGGTCTCATGATTTTCATCCATACTGGCTTCTAACCAAGATCCTCTCAATCTTTGCCTCTGAAGTAGGAGGATTACAGACACACACCACCATGCCTGGCAACTTTTATGGTATTTGATAAATGAAGTAAATGGAAAGTTAATAGACAAAGAAGTTAAGAGGGATGTGTGTGTGTGATATATTACCTTGTCACCTTATTTGCATTCTTTTCAAATTATCCTGAAGCATTTCTACATGATTTTGTATTAGGATGCAAAGAGAAGTTTAAACTAGTTCTAAAAAGCACAAATGACCACATTGCCAAAAAACAAAAACCCTAGAAATTAGTTTTAAACACTGAAAAGCCACATACAGGGAATTTTTGAAGTGTTCCTAAATAGCATTTGCATCAAAGAAATTACAACAAATGCTGATGGTTTAGAAAATAGAATAATGAAGATATACTTCATATGTTACGGAATGAAAACACTAGATGAAGAGTGAGATATATACATAGGAAGGAGTAATTGAAGTTTTTTTTTAATTTTGCTACCTTACAAATGAGGACTTTTCTGCTTAAGTAGTAGATTTACTCCAAATTTAAACTGTTCCAAGTGCTGCAGTTAACTTCTGGATGATGACTTTCTCTCAACTGAGTTTTAATGTAACAGTGAATTCTGAGCATCTGACAACAGTTGATTCTCAAAGAAGAGGAGAACAAAGTGTTAACTTTTTCTTCCCTTTCCCTACTGTTTGTTCTCAACTTTTCAGATCTCCATGTAACACTTTCTACAAAAGTCAACAACTTTTGTTGAAAATATGGACATCAAAAAGCATCAGCATTGTCTAGGAATTTATTAGACATAATCATCCTGGGTCAAGAACTTCATGGTATTGGATTTTAAAATATTGTTAACATCTACAAGCCTTCTCCCTTAGCATAGTGCATTGTACATTGTGAATGTTTAATAAACATTAATTAGTATTGTTATTAAGATTTAGAAACATCTTTGCTTCGATAGTGTTATGGTATAAGAGATTTTATTCTTAAACTATTGTAAAAGTCCCATTTGAATTAAAGATTTGGTCATATTTGTTAACTTTGGGTAGAGTAAAATTCAACTCGTGTTCTGATATTTCACAGATTCTGCATAAAGTTAAAACCATCTATAAAAGCTGTCAAGGTGTGAGCTAACCACTTAATTGGTGGCATGTGGATAAATGAGAGTATTAGCAATAATTAGACCAGCAGCTCTAGTAAGTTGCACAGGGCTTTTTAAAATTCTTCAGTGATCTGCTATTCTGTTTATACCACCATGTGTTAGTAAACATGGGCAAAATGACCATTTAATGGCCATTTTAGTGCCAGCCAGTTGCCTGAAGATTATGTTAAGAGTCAGATACTCATTTTGGGGGTAGGGGCTAAATCTGAGATTTTGGTTTAGTTTGCAATACCCATGTGTTGCTGATGGTGCCACTCTTTCAAGTAGAATAATAATAAAATCTGCACTGTACTAACAAAAGAAAGTTCAAAATGGTAATTGACTGAATGCTTTAAGATAAATACTGGAACCAAATCTGATTTCGAAACTGTAATTTTTGCCTATACTCTCCATATTACAGCATCCACTCAAAAGATTGTTGTGAAAATAAAGTGGTATGACATCAATCTGTACGATAAGGAAGAGTTTACAGCCATACCACCCTGAATGCACCCAATCTCATCTGTATGACAAGGAAGACAGCTAATTACTTCAGAGAAAGTACATACATTGAAAATAGGGTCTTGTGTAAGAGAAAAATGAATTTTTTATAATATTAAGCATGTTTTGTGTCAGGGATAAATATGGACAGGTTAGACATGTATTTCTAAATTCAAGTACAGAGCCGGAAGAGATGGAAGAAAATTGAAGGTAGTATTTGAGGTCATGAGAAATAATCCTAGAAAAGATAATAGGAATACAAAAAAAGATTAAACTGAAGGAACACCTATATTTAATGGATAGACATGAAAAAGCAAAAAAAGATTTAGATTTGAACTTCTAACTGACTTAAATATCTAAAATACTGCACTGCAATTCTATAATGGGAGTGATAAAGGAACATAGGGCTTGTATTTTGTGCTGGAATTTTTTAAGTTGTAATTTGAAAACCTTTTAAAAATCTATAATCTATTGTTCATTTCTATATTCAAAGTTCAGTAGTTGATTTTGTTCTATAAGGTTATTTCAAAATGTAATTAGTGACTTTTGAATCATTGCCCCTGGAAGAAATACAGGATTAGGTTCCTGGGAGCCTATGGTTACATGATTTTTATCAACTGATCAATACATAACCTTGCTTCAAGATACCTTATGTAATACACATTATTGATTCATTAACGTTGAACTCTGCCAGCAACACTAGGACTCATGCCTTAAAGTTTATGTAACTAACACATAAGACACATCACAGCCTTCTTGTGCTTGGGGACACTAGAAAGCGCTATATGCTTGAAGGAACATTTTAAACAGCGTAATCAAGAAAAAGCACAAAATTTACAGTGCCATTAGGAAAAAATTCTCGAAGTAAGTATTCACTAATATATTTTTATTTTAGGAAGAATCTAAATTTGTCTTGCATTTTCAAGTTCTACATATATTTCTTGAAATGTCATAACACCATATGCATAAAAATTTGCAGTGCATAAACATGAAAATAATTGCTAATGACACTAAAAAGTCTGATTTAATAATAAGAAGCATGAAGTATGTGCACTAAATATAATAAATGGAAAAATTGTTTTTCTTTCTG